CAATCCATGAAAAATGGCTTCCCAAAGGGATCCAACGGTTTTGCAAGCCACGGGAAAGAGTACAGCGGTGAGCTGCAAGAAGAACTTGAAGAGACACCTTTGTCTATTGCTGTGATCACCTACTTGTCCTATTTCTTCTTGATAATCTTTGGCTACATGCGTGACTTTATGCGTAAGTACCGTTTAGAGAAGTCCAAGTCTGTTAAGGAAACAGGAAATGAGGTGAGGACATAGTTTTAATTAATAAATCCTGTTTGTGCAAAGATGAAATTAAAGAGAAAATAGTTTCGCTGTATGATATGCAATCTCCGAAACTTGAATTATAAATTAGACAATTTAAGTGTGCCAGCGCATAGACCTTACGTGTAAACAAACATTCACGATTCGCTACGGCAAGCATGGCATTGAAAACTGTTTTTGCCGCCAAGGGAAAATTAAGGGTAACGTAAGAAATTAGTTACTAGTTACCGATGAAATACGACTCGAAAAAAACGATAGAACGCGATGTTATTTAATTAGTCACGGCGAGGTACACTGTTGTGGGGCAACTTGTAAGAAACTTGTAAGGAAAAGCCTGAGTTATTTTTCTAAGTGCATTGAAATGAATGCTATGAACAAAATTTATTTCTACTCTAGAAGAAAATGCTGACGAAAAATTTTGACATGGCGCGCTTTCAACAAAATCACGGGTTCAAAATGTCGGTATTTTCGATGGCCGAATGGAACGCGTCCGACCGTATCCAAGAGGGCACACTCAAAACGTATTCCTAAATTTTCGAAAACTTATCCCGGAACTTTTCCCGTTCCGTTCGATTTCAGATCGGAAATCTCGAAAATTTTGGTCAAATGGAAAGCGCTCCATTGGTCATGCCATGGTTATGCAAGATTAAGAGAGGCTCTTCGTTTATGACCTCTGGACTTTTAACCGTAACGCATGCTCAGTGGGTTTAATTTTGGTGGTGTGACCAGGCGTGATCTTGGGCACGTGCTTGTGCAAAACGGCTGCATGGCGGATGAAGACAATGGGGTTACGACCCTTAAAGAAATTGGATAAGCTTTATTTAGTGATAAGCGATATATTTTTTTGTAACTTTTATGTTTTGATGTGTGTCACAAACATATTTGCGAGCGTTTAAGCGCTAAGAGTATATTTTTTAAATTTAGTTTTTAATGAAAAGTCCGAAAGAACAATAGCAGACGTAAACCACGTTGACAAGCATTTGAAAATTTCACTTTTGATTACGTTCAGTTACGATCCTAACACGTGCACTGCGTAGAAAAAAAAAATAAGGGCACGCGTTCATATTGCAAATATTTTTTCTGTCTAGACGAATACAACAATGGTCGACAATGGTTTACCTTGTATAAGTAATTTAATGGGGCTGAGTAAAAGCTACGTATGAATTAATATCACGCATGTTTTCAGAAATTCCAGAAGTTGATACAACTTTTGAAACACAAGTGATACGAATCCATAGTTTTACGAGGAAAGATGCGATTATTTCTTATGATGTAAAGGGCAAAACTCCTGTACGTTGTTATACAATTTTATGGGAAGCCATCATTGAGTTTAGTTTTCAGGTAGAGTCAGTGAACTGTAAAACGTACCAATTAATAGAATGAAATTTTATTTTTTGAACAACCACGTCAAAGTAATGAAACCAGCCCTTCTTTTTGCTATCAATGAAATTAAAATACTTATATCAAATGACCACTGCAAGCAAATTGGCAAATATAAGGGAAAAAAGTTTTTTTCTACCCACTATGGTCACCAAAAAGATTACAGCTAGGGACGTATTCAAAAAGGAGGCTTCTTTGTTTATCGTGAGTTGATTAATCCGTTATAGTTTTCACTGATTTCAGGGTTTTGTGCCGCTTTATTCCGATTTTGAGAGTTTCTACACACGGAATCTTTACACTCGTGTGAGGGACTGTTTTAACAGACCCATTTGTAGTGTTCCTGGCGGAGAGGTTGTACTCGTGGATAGAGAGTCCGAT